CACTCCTGCACTTGGGAGAAGACATCAATCGTCGTGTCAGTCACCAATAAAAATGAGACCATTTGCGAAATCCTTCACATTGCTTCTTCCTATTAGGTTGGTCGCCTGAAACAATTAGACCATCCTTTAAAAAAAAAAAAGAAGAACAGATCTCAATTAAAAAAATCTCAAAAAAAAGGAAAAGGGAAGGAGGAAGGCTTTTCACAATTATTCTTCTTTACAAAATTTACTATACAAAGTCAAAAAGAAAATAAATTTTCTAATGCCTTTGCACTGTCAGCATTATAAAGAGCGGGCAATTGTTATAACCCAATTTTGGACAACATAAAATTCAAAAAAAAAGAAATGAATGAAAAATTGAGGTTTGGATCAAGACAACACAAATGAGAAGTTTTGATGGGTTTAATCATGTTTGTTTTATAGAAGTTAATTTTAAAGAAATTGAAAGAATTAGCTAGTATGGAGTTGCATTTAAACTGTGATTGAGTTTAATTAATGATATTTGGAGTTTAATTGAAGAATGGATAAATTTGATGATTTAATTAAGCTTAGAATTAGTTAATTAATGAAATCAGGGACATAATTAAATAAATATTATATTTATAAGTTAATTAAAGACAAAATTATAAGTGATTAAGGTCCCGGGATCATTTTGTAAAAGAGGCCGAAATTTTGTCTAGGGGCCTAATTAAAAAGTGTTGAAACTTTGAGGACCAAAATGAGAGATTGCCATTTCCAGTCCAAAACAACATCGTTCTCCATTACTGTTCACTGTTTTCTTCCTCTGAAAACAAGGGAAAGTTCCCAGCAAAGATGAAACATCAGTCACCAAGTATACAAGAACATCCACGACTTCCATCACCAGCTCATTAGTTCACCCCGTGTCCATCGCCGCCTCGACATGCCAACAGTGTGAAGAAAACCACCATAAACAACCCAATAATGGCGGGACCGTTGGCATTTTAATCCTATCCAAACACAGAACAGCAATCCTATTCTTTATGATAATCATAATCCAGAATGATAAGGAATGGACCTCACGACCGAGTCCCAGCAGAAACCAAATCCCTCCTAGCTGTGCTTATCTAAAGGCAAGTCATGTGCGAAGAGAAGACTAGGCACATCCCCTATAAATACAGAGCTTTAGGTATGAGCCACAAAGGAAGAAAAAAGCAGAAAAGAGGGGAACAAAAAGAAACCAAAGGAAAAGAGAACCAATAACAAAAAGAAAACACAAGGGCAAGGGAAAGAAGAATGTTCTTCAGACAAGACCATTGCTTCCTTCTTAGTCTCTGCCTTCACCTTCATCATCGCCAACTAGCTAAGGCCTTCCTATTTCTCTGTTTTTGTATCTTTCTTTGTAAAAGAAGAAAACAGGGCGAAGGTAATTAAATTACCTTCGCCCTATGCAATGCACGCATGGTTTAAACCACTCGTATCTGCTGCCCAGCTGGGTCATTGGCTTGGGCTAGTGACTGGGTTAGGCCAGCTGGGTCTAACTTAGCCCATGCAAGTTGAGCTAGACTCAGCCCAAAAAAAAAAAAAAGGAGTGGGTCGGGTCTGGGTTTTAGGCCCAGCCAACCCAAAGTGTGTTTGATAAGGGTGTGTTTAGTTTTGCCTTCGCCATAATTTCTATGCTCATGTTAATTTGATATTTGGTCAAACGAATCCATTTTTTATATCAGAAAATTTGAAAAATATTTGGGATCTTTGTTGATTTATTTATGGGCATTCTTAGCAATTTTAGACAAAACTAGCAATGCAACCTGCTTTAAGTAGGAGACTTAAGGAGTGATAGCATCTTTCCTTTTACGAAACCAATCTCATACCATAGAATCTCTGTTGACTAGTTAGGGTTCCTAGTGAATATAATACTAGGTGGCAACTCGTCGAACAAGACATTTTCCCCTAAAAAAAGATGTCAAATATCTATATTTTTTTCAATCAATTATTTTTTTAATCAGTCATCACCACGTACGGGTGTGACACTTTCAATCCAATCCTTTCTTCTTAAAAAATATGTAATTGGCTGTTAATTTGGGTTCAAAAGAACTAAATTATGCTAAAAAAATTTGAGCATCAAATTAAAAAAAAATAACTATTATATTCCATAATTTATAAGAGGATAAATTACTGAATTAGTTTCTATTTATTATGGAAGGTGTTGTATATAGAGTTATACTGCGCACTGCATTACATAATAATGGCTACTGCATTATGTATATCTCTCAAATTACCACAAACCTTATTTTAACTCTGTTAATATAATATACCATGTCCGAACATTCAATTCAATCACTTACCTCTTATTTTTATATAAAAAAAGCCACCATTTAATCAAATTATTACTAGATAATTAATTGTAATAGACTACATTTACATTTCATAAAAACTCTACAAACCCAAATTCAAATTTCTTATTTAAACCACCTAAGGTCAGTTGTTGAACAAGGGGATATTTCTTCACCAATGCCCTCACTATAACATGAAAAATAATTTGATTGCTCCCCCATTCCAAAGTGGCAACCATGCACACTCTTGAAGCTAGGACTCCTTAAATTCTGACTGAAACTACTATTACTACTGTAGCCAATATTGCCAACACCATTTCCATTGGGTCCACAATCAGGAACTGGGAATGACAGACGTTTCTTTGCAAGGAGTACTGATCCACTACGTTCTCTCTCGGGTGTTGATGGTCTCTGCCTTGGTGCACTCTGTGACCTAACACGAGCCTTCGCTGACTCAGTTGCTGCCATGTAGTTTGGCAATATTGTAGCACTACCCCCACCATATCGACCAAGACCATTGTTAATGCAATAACTAGAGCTCAAGCTTGGTGTATGTGCTGCTGAGTAGCATTTTTTTCCTTCATTTAGGCATCTTGGGCTTGCAGAACGTACTTTAAGGTGCTTAGTTTTGCAAGGAGAGGGTGTGATAGGTGTGATAGGTGATTGGTGAATAGAACGGCTGGAGTATGATCTATGGAGAGGAGAAGCAATAGAGTGTCTGGTGGGTTGTTTTTGTTGGTGATTTTGGCTTTGTGATCTTTGACAAGTTGGAGTTGCAATAGAATATGAAAATGGTCTAGATGTGTCCATCTCTACAGTCTTTATGTTGTTGTCTTTTCTATCTGTTGATGCCCTGTTACTTGTCTCCCATTGCTTTGTTGCCATCCATCGATCAAGCCACCTTGTTCTGTCTTCTAGTTCCTCTTCATCCCCTGCCGATGGGTTCCTTCTAGACCTCCATTTCTTGATGTTGGGTCATGTAGATATTCGAGAAGTTAAATAACTAGGAAATACATATACTATAGTTTTTAAACTTACAAATCAAACACATATAGGGAGTGAGAAGACCAACCTGGCTAGAGAAAGCATAAGCCAATGCTTTTTCGCGTTTTAAAGCAGCTTCCTTCTTACTTTGCACCATGGCTTCAATTTCTTCATTTGTGCATCGACGATCATCCCAATCATCTAGAAGAGAGCTTCCATCTCTCGACTGCAACACAAAAGCCATTAGCTTACTATATATCAAGAAGGCCTAATGATTTATCCACACTACCAAGGTACTATTATGTTATTTCATGCCTCAAATTATGAATTATAAATGCATTGTGTCTCTCTCTTTTCATAGCAGTTGTTTGAAAATTGATGAATATATAGTAAGACGTTTGTGATCTACATTTGCATTTGCACTAGTGTTATGTGTGTTCACTTGTTTGTTGATAAATAAATAAATAAAGCTATATATTAATAATTGCTATGGTATGACAGATTTATTTCAAAATATAGCATTGCCCTTACAAACGAAGGAGCAATATTTAGTGTTGATACACGAAATTAACTAACCTAAGAATACCACTTAACATGTATAAGCATAAGGAAAATAGCATGGGTCTAATGATCTCAATGATAGGTTTTCATCAATTAAATGGGTCTAATAATTTCAGAAATAATTATAGTTTGGCTGATGGGCTCCTAGTGTTAATTACAAGCACTTACCGTGGACTTTCTCTCACGAATGTCTTGGAGATATCTAGACTCCCATAAGCTATTGGTCTCAGAAAACATGGACCTTCTGCTCCATTCATGTGAAAGCCTTTCTCGTTGGTCACGGACTCGATCTTGTACTCGAACTAAAGCTTGCATGCATTGAAGTGTTAACTTTGCTTGCTTTCTTACGTTATGTCCTCTCACTAAAGCTTGTAACTTCACCAGCCCTTTTAGTGCACGTAGAGCTCCCCTTGCCTTCAATAATCGATCAAGATAACCAAATCATTAACCAAGAAAGACGTGAAAATATTGAAGCGCACAATAGCAAGTGATGACTTACTAGGTAGCCTCTAAAGGCTGTTTGAATGATAATAGCAGCCCATGTTTCAGCTCTAACAAAGCAGCTGGAAGATGGTCTAGCGAGTCTAGCAATCTTTACTGCTTCTTGGGCTGTTACAGATGCAGCTTCAGCTGCCGCAGCTTCTACTGCAGTTGCATGTCTTTTCTCGGCATCCATGGTAGGACTCACGGGTGCAGTAATAGTACTAGTATTTGTGTTTGTTATTGGGATTTTTTCTTCACATTGTTGAACTGGAACATGGTTACTGGACTTCCTAAAAAGCCATCTTCTTTTCTCTCTCTTCTGCAAACAATCAAACCCAAAAATCAATGCACCGAGAAATCAATTCTTTGTTATACACATAAAGTACAGGCTAGTCATTGTTCATGATAAGAGCATCATGAATTACCTTTACTTTCTCTTGTTGGTCATGTTCTTCTCTCCTTCTGCCACTCCTTTTCTCATTCTCTTTACTTGGAAACCTGAATGCTCTTTTCACTATGGTCAAACATGAGGTACCACCCTTCTTTCCCATTCAGAGAGGTAGCCAGAAAGAAAGAAAGAAATTTTACATTACAAAAACCAGCAAGGGCTTAAAAAGAGAGCTGGAGAGAGAGGTGCTAGATATAGGTGCATGGTATTCTAGTGACATTGATTCCTTCAATAATTATTATAACTGTAAAGATGTGGAGTCAGTAAGGGATAGAGCTTGATATTAATTACAAGTCTGTGAATGTGATGTTTGTTTTGTGCAGAATCTAACAGAGAACGAGCTCCAATTATCCGCCAAGTCTTGCGTTGTAGTGTAGTGGCATGAGATAAACAATCTAATGGAGGTGTGTCAGGAATTGTCAATAACATTGTAAATGATGATAATGTGATGGGAGAAGACATGAGAGAGACAGATAGTTTTAATAGTACACACAAGAATCCAAAGTCGCATTGAGATAAGCTAGGTAAATAATGTGTCTCGTCCCTCAAGTTTCAAATCTTGACCATTTCTAACTCCTCACCACAATTTTGGGCACATGAAAAAGCTTTGAGTTTTTTTTTTTAAATCAAAAAATAGATCTACAAAAAAATTTATCATAATACATTTCATAAAAACTTTTACTTCTTTCATTTTCATGGATATATATATATATATATATATATATATAAACCCTAATACATCTACTTTTAAAACAAAACTTATAATATATATCAAATTAAATAATAATATATTCTCACATTGAAGAGTTGAAGAGTTTTCACCGAAACTTATAGTCACCTTGACCCTTTTTAAGAACATGTCTATCACACTGTGTGCGTGTGCGTGTGAACAGCAAGAGCATGCATATTGATACCTGAAATTGGAATAAAAAGTGTTAAGGTGGCTGAAATCTGAAACTTTAAGGACCGCAAGAACAATGTATTCCATTTGTTAATTTTTATGAAGCTAGCATGCATGAATCTTAAAGAATAACTGACCGCCCCCTATTGCCTTCACGTGTTATGAGCAGCTAGAGGACGATAGAAAGAGAGAATGAAAACACACCTTGAAGACCACCAACGAAGGACAGAGTTAGCTAGTCATCCAACTATTAAACAATTGAAGAGGAATCGATATATTTTTTGGTCAGTGAGAAGTCATTAGACTGGTCAAACACTTATGACTGTGGTATACTTTCCAAAAATGTTTCTTGTCTGAATTTGAAAAAATAAGGCCAAATAATAGTACATGTATATCTGTTGCGTCTTCTCCAAATAATTAATAATGGACAAATAAAACCAAGTTATATTAATCTCCCTGGTGTCCGATGCAACAAATGGCTATTGAAAGATTGAGAGGCTTATCTTGGCAGGTTGTGGGGCTTCGGCTCAAGGAAGTAATACTTAGAGTTGGTTTGGAAAAATAATACGAAGTGAATGTTTTTTTAAATGTTTTTATTTTAATATATGAAAATAATATTTTTTTTTATTTTTTATATTAGCATACCATCAAAATAATTCAAAAATATTTAAAAATTAAATTAAAAAAATACAACCGGACTATATTTCCAAACACATTTAAAGTACCAAATTTGTCCATGTCAAGGGAAAAGTTGAATGATCTCAAGGTGGTCAATTGTGACCCTTGATCTTTGTCGGCTACGTGCAAAACAAGTTTATTTTCACAAGGGTCATATATATATATTATTTTTTAAGACAGACAAATTTTTAAAACCAACTCATCGGAGATATAATACGAAACAACCAATAACATACATCATGACCAGGTTCGAGTGTATTGAAATTGACGGTGTGGTATTAAACCATTTCAAAAAAGGAAAGAATTATTATTATTATTATTATTATTATTATATATATAATTCAAGGTGTTAGGCCAGTTTATGACACGATTAAAATATTAATATTTTCTTACAAATATAAAAATGTTGAAATAATAAATAACCTAACAAAACTGGGATCGAATCACAGAGAGGTTAATTGTACAAATTATAAATAATAATTATAAATAACAACAACAATAATATTAGTAGTAATAATAATAACAGTAGTAGTAGTAGTCCTGACAAAACCAGGGTCGAATCACAGGGAGATTAATTGTACAAATTATAAATAATAATTATAAACAACAACAACAATAATATTAGTAGCAATAATAATAACAGTAGTAGTAGTAGTAGTAGTAAAGAAAAAGAAAGAGAAGAAGAAGAAGATGATGAGAACTTTGAAATGAAATATTAATGTAAGGATTAAACAATGATAAATAATAAATGTCAAGGTTAGAGGATCCA